TTAAACGTAATGATCTTTGATTGTATCTCTATTATGATGTCATGTAAGGAACTTTTGAAGAATGTTTTGGGTTGTCGAATGATGTCATCCAATCCAATAAAACAAGGAAAATCTGAGGGTTAACTAGTGATGTCACAGTTAATTCGGGGCATTGTCGTTCATAATTCAATGAAGTAGTAACTGGAAATCGAGTTGTTTGCATACATGTCATGTGTGGAGAAAAAGCCTCTAGCTATCCCATCCATCATCTTATTTCTCAAATTTATTTTACAATCTGTCTAGGTTTTCATACTTGTTTGTTTGTTTCAACTTCATCCAAATCAAAACCCCCCCTTTTAGTTTCTTGTTTCAAAGTGTTTCAAATCTATTTTAGTTTGTGTTTTTAAGTGTTTTGATTCAAGTAAAAGTCAATTTTCGTCCAAAGTCATTCCTAGTGTCTATTTTAAGTTTATTTAGTTGTTTTAAGCTGTTTTGAGTATTTTAAGTTTACTTTGAGTCTTGTGAGTCTTGTTAAGTGTTTTTAAGTTTAGTTTTATGTTTTTGAGTCAGTTTAGAGGTTATTAGCATGCCCTCCTAATCCCTGGTCCAAAACGATCCCTACTTATTGATCGGATCATATTTATATATATTTTTACTTCGAATTCACTCGTCTTTTCTTAGTTAGTTCCTTACATTTTTGAGCTATTTACGTTATTTTTGTGTTTATAGGATTTGTTATGCAAAGAAAATAAAAATAGCACAAATGAGTTTTAAATAATAAATTCGTCGAAAATTGCTTTAGTCGTTCTCATTCTGTCATGGATTATTGGTAGAATTATGTCACGGCATAAACAAAAGAAATGGGGAGAGTCGGTCAAAAAGGGAGCAAGAGAGCATCATGATTTATATTTTTTTACCTCGTTGACTCCCATATTCTTCACTTCTGAAAACAACAGGAAGCTGCTTTGCAGCTGGAAAGGAAGGAATCCAAGGTGGAAACGTGAGGAGTGGAAGGCAGGAGTATGCGGGAAAAGATGGAATAGAAAAATAAAAAAAAGGGGGAAAGCTGAGACACGGGTTGGAAGGCAGATGCTGCTTTGGCAGCTGGGGGGCGCATAAAATAAGAAGAAAAGGCATGAGGAAAGGGGAGATGAGGAGGAAATAAGGGGAGAGAGGAGGACATAGAGGGAGGAGCTGCCTTTGGGCAGTTCGCAGAGAGCGCAGGAGGCGCAGAAAAACAGGGGGGATTGACGCGGGAGGAAAGTTGCTTTGCAGCTGGGGGGCGGAAAGAAGGGAGGGCTGCCTTTGGCAGCGTGAGGATAGACGCAGGTCAGAGGGGAGAGAGGTTAGAGTGCGAAAACAGAGAGACAGAGGCAATGGGCAGGCACGGCAAGAGAGGGCAGACTGGATCAGAAAGGGAAGTCAGACAGACAGAAGCAGCAAGCACTCTCCTCTCTCTCGGTTTAATCTTTCCAAACTTCTATTTTATTTCTATTTTAATAATGTGTAAATAAACTTATTTTGGCTAGAGGTTAATTCAAAGCCATGAATATATTTGTAATTTGAATTGATTACCTTCAGTTGTGATTTCTGAGTTGTGATTTAATTTGCTTAACTGCTTGATTTATAACTTATTTTTGTATGTCGATTAAGGATGCATACTTAATTTACATGCATGAATTTGATGCTAGAATATAAGTGAATTTCACCTAATCGTTATGAACTTATATTCACAAGTAGTGAAGGTTGCTAGTCACAATCACGTTAAGTGAATTCTTGGCAAGAGTATCATGCTTTTCATAGTTACGAATGCCTCGTCAATGCTTATAGTTTTCACAAAGTTTAATGATCTTTGATTGTATCTCTATTGTGCTTTTCACGTAGGGGACTTTTGAAAGAATGTTTTTGAATTGTTGTATGCGTTTTCCCGTCCAATTCAATAACTTAAGGAAAACTTGAAGATTAAAAAAGTGCTGTTCACGGTTAATCTGAAGTGTTGAGATTCACAATTTATTGAAAGAACAACTGAAAATCAATTTAGGTTGCATATGTGTCATGTGTGGAGAAAAACCCTCTAGCTAGTCCGTCACCTATCCTTTCACCTTAATTTCATGTTTTTGTCAATTCTGTAATTTATTTAAGTTTAATTTACTTCTCGTCAAAACCAAACACCCCCCATTATTAAATTATATTATTTAGTTAGTTTTCATTGTTGTTGGTCTTTTAATTCAATTTCCGTCCATTTCAGTTCCTAGTGTCTAAATTGAGTGTTTCCATTATTTTGAGTCATTCTAAGTGTGTTTCAAGTTATTAGAGTTTTTAGCCTAGTTTTGTGTCCTTGAGTCTTATTTAATATTTTTAAATTAATTTAGAATAGATTAGCAATCCCTCCTAATCCCCGGCCTAGAACGATACCCTACTTACATCTATACTACAATTGTCAAAAAGAGGGTTTAATTTGTGTGTCAAGTAATTTACGCATCACTTATACTTATACTACAATTGTCAAAAGAGGGTTAAATTTGTGTGTTAAGTTCATTTTCGCATCAGCAAGGCAAAAGCCTTCTAGAAGGGAATAGGCGCCACCTTTGTAGGGAGATGAGATAAGGCATTCTAGAATCTGAAATATGTATTTTAAATGCATAATTATCCCTTATAAATGGCTGGAATTAAGGCACAAACTGATTTGGATAAGATAGGATTGGATAATGCTAGATTAGGAAAGGATAAGATAAGATAAGGTTGGATAAGGTTGTGGTTAATGTTTCCTCTTTTGAGTTGATTCCTTATCTTCTTTGTCTTGAATTTAATTTCTTCATCTCCTTATCATATTCCCAGCCTTTTGAACTCCAAAAACGTCCATCCACCTTGGGCCATACATGTGCTATCCATTTAGTGACCAAAACTGCTCCAATATGCTCCAAAATGCACTTTCTTGCCCACTTTGTCATTTGGACCTTCATACACACGAAAATAGCTTAAATCATTATAATAAACACAAACTAACTACGAAAACGCAAGAAAACAAGCTAACTAAGTCGCATAAATATGCTCCTATCAAATTCCCCCACACTTAGCTTTTGCTAGTCCTCGAGCAAAACAAAGGAAACAAAACAAACAAAAACATAACCTAAACCTTCCAACGTTTGCCTCAGGGATTTCCAATGAAACATGACACATTAAAGATCACTACTCACATAGGTTTTAGTCATCCCTACCCTTAAAGGCATACTTAATCACAGTCATCACTCACTAGCTCGCATTTAATCAATTAAAACAATGTTTTTTAATGTAGTAACATGCCTTAGAGAATTCCCGCAATTCCTCATCGGATATACACTCTATTTTCACACAGATTTTCTGACTACACTCCCTATACTAGGTATATGTGAGAAGATTGTTGTAAACATGTAGACTAACACTCACATATGTTATCATCAAAGAAAGCATTTTTTGGAGTTATTAACATAAACATGTATATGATCTCATGAACGGAATGCTACTACTTAGACGCGAGAACCAGGGATACCATATGCTCATACCAATCCCAAACTCCGCAGAATGAGACACACAACAACCAAGATTGAAGTCTAAAGGTTGTAACGGGGCTAAGGGTATTGGCTAACATAGAAAGGTTAAGGATAAACAAACGTTCTTAAAGCAATAGTAAGCATAGTAATGAAATCAACTTAGAATTCGCTCTTGAATGCAGCAAATAACTTGAAACACTAAAGGGATTTCGTACATCTTAGGGTCATATTCAAACTTTTTTGGACCGTTTCTTCAACAACCAATATTTGTGATTTCATTCTCACTTATTTCACAACTTTTTTTTCCTTTTTTCTTTTTCTTCTCCTTTTTGTTTTTTTTTCTTTTTTCTTTTTCTACCCGTGCCCTATTTCTTTGGCACACAAAACACACTTTTGAAACCCTTCCCCCACACTTGTTTTCTGCAATAATGTTGATCAAAAGGAATTCCCTCTAAGTCATGCTCCACTATACTTTAAGAACAAGTGTGTGGATAGTCCTATTCTAGGCTAGGTAAGGATAATGTGGCTAACAAAGAAAATAGGCTAATTAAGGCTCAAAGTGGTTAAACCTACAAAACAATTGCATGGAATGAAGGCTTTTTGGCTCTGGTGGTAACTACTAAACAACTTCATGTTGTTATATGTTATGCACTCAATTTTAAGTATTGAATGAAATGGGCATGAGTTCTAGTATTTGGAACTAAAGTGATAAAACGCATTCTAAGTAGCAACCAAGCAAAGAATAATGAGATCATGCAACGACTTTAGAAAACAAGAAATCACAGATTAATAACTCTCCAAACAATGTTTAGGCTCAAGTCTCTCAAGGTTGTAGCGTTAGTTTAAGTTCCGTCCTTCAAGCAAGTTACAAAAACTGATTTTTTTTTCCTTTGTGATTACATGTGAATTCGTAAACGTTAACTACAACCAAGCATAAACGAAAGAGCATATCAAACTTCCACCCATGTTTGTAACTTTCTTTAACAGTCATGCAATTAAAAATCAAATCCTCATCACTGTGTTGGAAGGTACCCTAAGACACGAATACACAAAAACAACTCAAAAACGACTCTTTTTGAGTTTTTCAAAAAAAATTCTAATTTTTTTTTTCAAATTTTCATATTTTCTGTCAAAGACATACTAAGACACTCCAAAACACTCTAAAAACACTAGAAAACAATGAAAAACAACTCTAGTTATGCTAGGTGGTAAAATCCTACAAATTTGCAATAAAAACACTTGTTTACCCCCCCCCCACACTTAAACCAAACATTGTCCTCAATGTTTCAAAAATAAAATCACACATAAGCAAACAAACGACACAACTTAACAAACATGACAATTATGGCAAAGTAAAAGCAATAAAGAGTAGAGGTTAAGAATGCAAATCTGGTTATGGAGCTCGAATTCCTTCAATCCCTCGTTTGAACACATGGGTTGCCTCCCACGAAGCGCTTGCTTTAACATCTTCCAGCCGGACGATACCTCCAGTTAAGCTTGACTATGGCCCACGGCATGGAGGGGTATGTCCTCGACGGCATGCTCCTCAAAAGTCTCATAATAAGGCTTCAAACGGTGTCCATTGACCTTGAATTCATGTCCCGTCTTCAAACTTTGAATTTGAACTGCACCATGAGGAAAAACATTAGTAACAACAAAAGGTCCAATCCATTTAGAACGCAACATACCTGGAAACAACCAAAGACGGGAATTGAAGAGTAGCACTTTCTGCCCTATAGAAAATGTCTTGCCACGAATCATCTTGTCATGGGTGGCCTTGGTTTTCTCCTTGTAAATGAGCGCGTTCTCATAAGCTTCATCCCTAATCTCCTCGAGGTCATTCAATTGCAATTTTCTATGGGTTCTTGCGGCATCAATGTCCATATTGAATGTTTTGACGGCCCAATGTGCACGATGCTCTAACTCAACCGGAAGATGACATGGTTTCCCATAGATGAGCCAAAATGGGGACATCCCAATTGGTGTTTTGTAGGCCGTTCGATGCCCACAATGCATCATTCAAACGCAAGCTCCAATCTTTGTGAGTTGGTTCAACCGTCTTCTCCAAAATTTGCTTGATTTCCCTATTCAAAACCTCAGCTTGCCCACTTGTTTGAGAATGATAAGGTGTTGAAACCTTATGCGTGACATTGTACTTCTTGAGCAGCGTCTCAATGGTTCGATTACAAAAATAGGACCCTCCATCACTAGTGAGTAATCTTGGCATTCCAAACCTTTGCAAATATGTTAGTTCTAATAAAATCTGCAACCACTTTAGAATCATTAGTACGGGTGGCTTTTGCTTCCACCCATTTCGACACATAATCCACAACAAGTAATATATAAAGAAAACCATGTGAGGAAGGAAAAGGACCCATGAAATCAATACCCCAAACATTTAAGATTTGGGAGAGTGAAAATTTGTAATTACCTTGGGAGGAATTCTTTTTTTATTGCATCTACAAAATATTTAACATCATCTACTAACAACCCTTGGCTTTCCAGCAATTTTCGCAGACCGCCAGGTATTTGTGTGTTTTATGTTTTCAATAATATGCCTTTGCCTTTGCATCAGATATATGGACACTCAAATTGCACTAATTTGTTGTTCTATGCAATATGGTTTTTTCTATTTATCTTTCAATTTTCTTTTTTGGAAAATGGTTATTGCCTTTTTGTTGGCACTGTTTGAAACATACTTTGCTCGAGTTCTGCTTGGTTTGGACACTTTGCTTGAGTCAATTATTTGGCTTTACCTTTCCGCTAAAATTCAAAACTTGATCTTTGACATTTTACTATGTTTTAGATAGGATGTAGGTCCTTTTTTGCCTTCGCTATTATTGACAAGTTAGAAATGATTTTGTAATTGATTATGGTTTTTCCATCTGTTAATACATATATGATGAAACCTTACTGAAAATTTCTTCCAACAGGGATAAATAGATGCTGGAGAACATCTTATTGAATGTTAAAAAGAAATTTGAGATGACCCTTGGCATACTTGCAAAGAGAAGATTATAATTGACCCGACAATACTCATTTAACACTTTTCGCGATGAAGGACAATTCGTCGCGCAAAGGTCGTGAAAACAGACTTTGCGCAATAGAAGATATGATTCGTCGTGCAATACTGAATTTGTGGGACGGAATGGAAGTCATCACACATATGCTAGGGGGACGAAACCACTTTGTCATGTGTAAGTTGACGCATCAAAGTTATCTTGACGTGATACACTAAATGGTATGCTTGACATTGGTGGCCAAGATGTTTGCATGACTAACATGTGATATCAGATTGTAGTTGCCATAAACTTTGCACGACGAATATTTCGTCGCAAAAGGTCAATTTTATTTTAATTTTAAATAAAAAAAATATTAAGAAACTCTCGTGATTACTTTGTGCGACGAATATTTCGTGGCGCAAAGGTCAATTTTTTATTTTTTTGTAAATATTTTTAAGGGCTGGGAAATTTTGCCATAAATCGAGACTTACTGATTGAACTGTACTATTCATAATGGTATGGTAGATTTTTTTGGTGTATTTTCATAATCGGTTGGCATTATACCGAACCAGCTATTAATGGTATGACTTTGGTATTGGATTTTGTATACCGGTGGTATGCCATACCGACCAATATATATATAAGGGATAGGATCAAGGGACAGATATTTTTACAAATACTTTTACACTCTTTTTAAGCCTTTTGATTACATGACATCCAATGGTTCTTATTTATTCATTAAATGACATGGATGCTTATGTGGATTTTAACTAATATTAAAGATAAAATAACACTGAAAAAAAATTTAAAATCTGAAAAATTAAAACTAAAATTAAAAAATGTTGTTTTATTAGCACCTCACATATTGTTGAATACACCTCATATACTAAATACACCCCACATCTACTTTTTCAATCAAATTTATCTTAGTACACCCCACATACTTTCCTATACTACCCTCACACCCCAAACTTTCTACATACACCCCACATTCTTCACATACATTCAACATTCTCTCATTGTTCATTCTCACCACACCTCCAAATTTCAAGACTCTCGCTAAACATGTAAATGCTAATTATGAGGTAGACTACATGACATTCAATTATTGGTTTATTTTATTGGTAGAGCACAAATCCAAAATTTGTATACTCTCTGTTACTCCTCTAGAGTCAATCTCACAAAATTTTGACCCAAAAAAAGAATGATAGGACATGGGTGAATTTTTATTTTTTTTTCAAAATTATAATGGCTTCAATTCTTTTTACTGTACAAAACTTAAAAGAAAATAGTGCCAACGGCCAAGCTTACCACATAGAGAAAAATTTGTTTATATTATAATGGATTTAGTCTTTTTTTTTTTTTTTTGAGAAATTGAAAATTTGTTTTGGAGTAGTTATAGATTTTGATAACAAAAATATGTTGTAGTTCTTACAAAATCCATAATGAAGTACGTCTGGTTACGAATTCGTAAAATTTTTTTATTGGTAAATTACATAGTAGCCCCTCAAGTTTAAGGTCTATTACAACCCCATACAATATCTTTAAAACATTTCACTTTCATACCTCATGTACAATTTTATTTCAAAATAATACCTTTGTTACATTTTACATCCATTGATTCTTTAAGCGCTGACGTGGCTACCACATTTGTGCCACGTGGTTGCCAAATGCGTGCCACGTGGCAAATATAATAATTTTTTTTAAAACCTTAATCATAATTTTTTTTAACCTGAATCTTCCAACCCAAAAAAAAAAAAAAATTCAAAAGCTAAACCTTATCCCCTCTTCTTCCTCCTCTCTTCTCCCAGCAACCCCCAAACCCAGAAACCTTATCCCCCCTCCTCCTCCTCTATTCTCCCCCATCTTCTGTTGGAAATGTGCCCTAAAACCAATCATATAATGATACTTTACGGACATTTCACATGTTAAACTAATCTAGTTTAATAACAAGGGCAAAGATTATTGTTTGAGCCGTCTCATATAAATGTTATATGCTTAAACGATAAGTCCAAGGAATATGTGATTGGGAGAATGCGATCTAAAGAAGTTAGATTCATGAGACCATTCTTTCGTAGACACATCCTAAACTTTCCTGATCATAGGATTGCCAATTGGGCATTGACAGTCCGTTAAGATCAGTACGTGCTGTGTCTTCTCTCAGGGAGAGTGACTAGTCTCAAGTTATTGGTGTGTGTGACATCAAGACAAGTACGTAGGTGCTCAATAGAGAATGAGTTCACTGAACACGATCAACGAAGAGTTCTCATATTCATGTCACATGAGAACTCATGGTTGGGATAATGCAAAGTATTCCTTTGACCTGAGGCATCACGTTTGTCTTGTGGTTAAGTCCTTGATCTTTGATTATGTCAAAGTCACCCTATCCGCGGATGTCCACGGCATCGTTGGGGTTAAGCCACTTAGCTATGGAGGCAAGTGAATGCGCAACAAGGGATCTCTAACCTTCAAACCGTTTGGGGGAGAATACTCTATGATATGATTTAGAATCTCTGGCCAGAGTATGAATGAGATTTAGGAAAGTCGTTCCAAATCACATTCAAGGTAATCATATAAGCACACGAATCACATTGGATAGTAGACATGAATAAACTATCAAACCAAACAATGTGGTCAAGAGTATTGTATTAGAGAAAGACCGTATTGCATTTGTAATCCTAAACTGAATAGGTTCTCTACCTCTTCTGATTAGCTTGGGTAACCATGATATGCTGCTAGGTGTCACTCTTGGTTTGTGGAAGCCCTAAACGTGTATAAACACTAAAGGGAGAATTGAAAGTAAGTTTCAATTCACAATCGATTTGAAAGAGTTCTAATCGCCCACTGCCTCGCTAAAAGGAACCTAATGGATCGTACACCGTGTAAGGTGGAGATTTAAGAAACAATGGAGATGAGTAAGAATACTTAAATGGTTTAATTGTTTATGGCAAGGATTAATTAATATGTTAATTAATCAAACGAATAAGTTCGTTAAAGACCTCGGGATAGTTTTGGACCTTAAGGCCCAATGGGCTTCGAACGTCAAGCCCATTGACTTAAGTTGTATGACAATTTAATGAATAAAGATTCTCAAAGGCCCAAAAACCCAAATCCCTTATGTGGCCGGCCATGTGTGTTGAATTAGGGTTTTTTGGTTTTTAGGTCATTTAAAGAAGTGACTATATAAAGAACTTTATAGCCTAAAATTCATTAAGGGTTCTTTTGGAGAAAATTGGAGAGAACATGTCTCTCTTTTTCTCTCTAGGAGGCCAGCCCCCTTGGAGGGTGTATCTAGCAATCCTACTCCTCCAAGGTCACTCATTTCTTCTCCAATCCAACCTTGGTGTAGACACTTAGATGTTCTCAATTTTGGGAACTTGGAGAACCATATTCTTCCATCCAAATCCATGGATCTTAGATGCAAGGAATGAAGGCCCTCTCTTTGGGTGATTAGCCTTTGCTTATGCAAAGAGGAATCTACGAAGGTATAAATTTCTCAACTCACTTTGATTTGAGTTGAGTCTTGGTTCACCAATCTACTAGGCTTTGAATTTCATGCGTAATGTTTTGTTTTTGAGTGCATGCAAGCATGATTCCACCTTTAATTGTTAATTGCATGCTTATAGATGTTATTCAAATGAACATGTTTTCATAAATCATCCTTCATCTTCATCTTCTTCCCCCTGCAACCCAGAAAAAAATAAAAAATAAAAAAAAACCCTTAAGTTCGTCATTCCCCCCCCCCCCCCACCTTCTTCCCCTCTCTTCTCCCCCATCTTCATTTTCTTCCCCTGACCCCCTACCTGCAACCCAGAAAGAAAAAGAAAAAAAAAATCCAGATCCCGTCTAGGCCACCATCGCTGGGTTCATGAGATGGGAGGA